CCAGCCATGCTGGCTGGGGAATTCTGGGAGTTGAAGTCCACACATCTTAAAGTCGCCGAGGTTGAGAAACACTGTGCTAGATAAAGGGGCTTGAAATGGGTGGAGTGGGTGTGCATTTCTTTGGGTTCCTATCTTTCATCATACAACCCACAATCCTTTCTCCAGTTGTCTGCAGCGTCCCAGGATGCCTGATCTGAAAAAAGCAGAAAAGGTGCACCAGGGGTCCATAACAAAAAAGCAAACAAGCCCAACTCAGCAAATAGGAGCAGTGCCACCTGCTTCATCTTAATAACAAATAAATCCAAAAGGGTCACCAACATTTTAAAGCATCCTTGAGAACGTCGAAAGCAGGAGTCTTCTTTGTTAGGGAAGAAAACTTGTGGGAGATTGGAGGATCGGCTTCAGCTCAAAGATTCATCCAAGCGCTAAGCTCTTCATAGTAACTATCGTGCTTCCAAAAAACCGCAACCCATTTATGGTCCACCTAAAACACTGAAGCTGATAAAGATGTGATTAGCCCATTTTCTTTTTCTTGTTAAATTGCCAAGCAGTAGAAACCCTTGCTGATGGACTGCATAATATCCAGATATCTTCAATGGATGTTGGTCAACCTTCTTTCTTGGTGCAGAAGGCTCAAACAGACAACCAGAACCTCAGCAAATCCCATCTTCATGTAATGTTTTAAATGGGAGTTTGCTAACTGCATTGCTACAGTTCCTGCAGATCATTTTCATCTGGGAGAAATGCAGTTGTTTAGATTTTTTTCCCTCCCCCCTCTCCAGTTTATCTAATGACCGTGAACAGATTTGTTTCCTCTGGAACATGCAGTAGCTTCATCAGGGGAGAACCAATCTGCTGGATTCAGACTTTGGTAAAATCCAGCTGAAAAGACTTGTTTGTAGTGCCAAATTCCATGGCAACAGACTTTTGGTTAGTTTCCTTGACAGCCGTTAACTTGAAAGAAGCAAGTGATGATTTTAACCTCTGTGGGTTAACTGTGGGTGATTTCAGGAAGTGAACTGACAGCAAAATTAAAAAGGAGGATTTCATAGGAGGACATTCTTCTCCCTTCTTTAAAACGGCGCAGTTGGTTTGCACTTGTGGGATCCTTGAAATATTTTTAACTGGTGGATGTAGTTTAATAAAGTAGGTCAACCAACTCTAATGTGGCTTCTTTTTTCTTGAAAGCGCATTAAGAGGTGGTTTGTTGAAAGGCATTTGTCTGTGATTCTGAAACATCATTTTGTTTTCCTGGCTGAAAGTAGCTGACTTATTTATGTGGAATGCCCTCTGAATAATCCAAAGATACTTTCGGTCTTGGTCTGGGTCTTAAATCTCACCCTAAATTTTTGTTGATGCATCGTTTGATGTCTTTGTGTTTCAGAGTGATCGCCTTTTGATCAAGGGGGGCAAAATAGTCAATGATGACCAGTCCTTCTATGCAGACATTTATATGGAAGATGGGTTGATAAAGTAAGTACACAATAATTTTGTTTCTGTTATGGGACTAACAGGGAAATAAAAAATGTCTTAACATAGGAAGATGCCAGGCTCCATGGAAACATTGAGATAAAGCAGATAATTGATGCTTAGGGATAGAAGAAGTAAAAAAAAAAAAAAGTTTTAAGATTGAGTCCTTGAAAGTCAGGATCATTAAATTCACAGTCTACTACAAAGAAAACACGCATTGAGTTGTAGCCCAGATTTATAAATATAGATTTAAGGTTGACCACAGAGATGGGTTATTGAGAACTTGGCGACAAAAGGAAGACTTTGGTGTTTTGGGACATGGGTACTGGCACATAATTTAGATCCTGGCATCTCTGCCTATTGGGTGGAAGTCTGTTATGAAGATATGAATTGTACAGAGCAGTTGCAGGATTTCTTGCCTGGCTCCTGTGCAGTTACTGAATTAGGGCTGTGTTTGTTATAATTCAAGAGTGCAAAAAATGCACTCCAGGGTCTGCATTTGTTCAAGGCATTTGTTGCAACTCTCATGAGAAGTAACAAAGCTACCTGGTGATCATTAGGAGTGGGAAAAAAAGAAAAGGCTGCAGACTGGACTAGAGCAAATCAAGTTTGGTCTTTTGACTTGGTGGCTCTGCACCTTTGCTCTAAATCTCTCCTTTAATATCTTTGAAGACTTTCCCTTCAGCTCCCTATAGCATCTCAACTTTACTGTCCTGGAGCCCATTCCATGAAAGGCATGATCAGTGAGGGGCTTCACATTTAGTACATCTGGATGGAGGTCAATTTGTTAGATGAAATTTATATACCAGGGGTGAACCTTTAGAGATGGGGAACCAGAGTACTTAAAATATCTACACGATCAGCACACTTAAATTTAACTTATAAAAAGATGAAGAGAATAAACTGTCTTTGCTTGGTTCTGAAAAGACAGCCAGCCAAGATGGTGCCAGGCATGTCTTTCCTGGAAGGGTATTCTAGAACATAAGAGAAACACCATTTTCCACACCATGAGCTTTCTAGTACTTTCAGTTGGGACTAGGAGCAAATTGGAAGGCAATGAAGATCATATCAAACTGTCATATGTTCATAATATCTCAATTCTCTCCATAGCCTTGCTGAAGTGTTTTGTCCTAAAGGTTGATGAAAATGTGTAAATCTGTGCTCCTCTGTGTGGTTATGACATTGATACAAGATTGCCTCTAAATCCTCTTATCTCAGACAAATAGGGGAGAACCTAATTGTGCCAGGAGGAGTAAAAACCATTGAGGCTCATGGACGGATGGTGATCCCTGGAGGAATTGATGTCCATTCTCGTTTCCAAATGCCTGACCAAGGAATGACCTCTTCTGATGACTTCTTCCAAGGAACAAAAGCAGCCCTGGCTGGGGGCACCACTATGATCAGTAAGATCTCTTTATCTAATTTAAACGTAATAGCTAAAAACATGGAGAGCAAAGGATGATGCTTGTAGTGTAAAGAATGGAAGGACAGGAAGGGAAGTGACCCCTGGAACTGATGCATCAGCCTAAAAATGCAATTACATAGTGAGAAAATTAGAGTCAGTGTTTAATTGTTCAGGATGCTTCTATTTTCCCTTTGGGGCACTGTTTTTTAAACTTTTTGCTCTTAGGACCCCTTCCCATTTTTAAAGTTATGAAGGACCCCAAAAGAGCTTTTGTTTGAATGGGTTATATTTATCTATATTTACCATATTAAAAATTAAAATTGATGCATTTGTAAAATACTTATTTATTGAGTCATGTAAAAATAATAATATTAAACCCATTAGCTATTAACATAAATAAAATAATTTCATGAAAAAAACCTACATTTTTAACAAAAAACAATAATGAGAAGAGTGATGTTGTTTTAAAGTTTTGCAAAAGTCTTCAATATCTGGCCAATAATTTTGATTTTGCAGACCTCTGAGAGGGTCTTAAGGGATGCCCTGCCCCTGATACCTAGACTGGTGTTTCTCAACCTTGGCAACGTTAAGATGTGTGGACTTCAACTCCCAGAATTCCCAGCCAGCCATGAGATTTCACAGAGCAGGCTGCCTGGGTTGCTAATTTCTGTGCAAAGTTAATGTAGAGTTGTCAGGGTTTTGAAAGGTAGAATTGCCAGTTGGTTCTCCTTTTCCCATTAAATTTCTTTGGTTCCTTGCACTTTGATAATAAGATGCAGTAAAGCAAACTGGGCAATCTCTATATTTTTGTTTCTATAGCTACTTCTGCAGTGTTTCTTTTTAGCTAATGTAATTTTATCGGCTGCTTCAAGGTTAAGATTCTACTGAAGTTGTTCCCTAGATGAAAGTGTTAATGCACCAAGCCTTGTAAAACAGCTTGGCAATTAGCCCTGGAGGAATTAGATGTGTTCACATTATGTCCAGATTTGTAACGTGTGTGTGTGTGTGTATGATATATATATATCCGCTGGCTGTGTTGATAGGTTGTATTATGTCTTCAGTTTGGAAAAAAATTGCTGGCTACTGGTGTGTGGGCTGGAATGTCTTTTTGTGGGGAATGGAATAAACAAAGATTAGAGTGTCTTCTCAAGCCAGATAAGACTTGTATTTTATTTGAAGGGATCTGAACTAGAGTCTTGACTTCATTTAGGTTGTAGGGTTTTATAGGCAATGCTGAATCCTAAAGATCTTAGCAAATGGTTTGCTAGCAAATCCATCGCTGGCCTGAGAAGAGCCCTTGCACAGATTGGAGAAGATGTCAAAATATGTTCCTCGGGCTGGAAAAAATTGGGTGTCATTGAGGTTTGTATTGATTTAAAAACCAACATGAGATTTGAATGTCAAAGCATTTGAAAAGGACTCTGCTGCTCACCTTTGAGAGATTGATTTTTTTTTTTTTTTTTAAAGAAAAACAAATCAGGGCTGGAAATGTCTTCACTTGTTTCAGTGGAGATGCTGACAAGCCCTCTACAGTCCTTGGATGGTTTCCTGCACCTTTTTTCTGGAGATTTTTATTTTTTAAAATTCTGATCTGAGGGGAGAGGATGGGGGAAGAGGTGAGCTGGATCTCATGTTAAACTAGATGGATGACCCCTGGGGTACAGAAGCTGAATTTGAGCTTCTGCTTCTCCCTTTGGTCACTGCAGTTCATTATATCAGTTGGACAGACACATGATCAGTATCAACTGTTTTTAGTTGTAAACCATACCCAACCCATACCCAGGTAATAGCAAATGATGGTCTATCAAATGCAGAAGCAAATTGTCCAAAAGTGTTCTGGGAGAGAGGGAGCCTGAGGCTAGCTTGGGCTTCTTTATGTGGACACATTATACTAAATGGCTTGTGTGTCTGTGTCAAAGGCTGCAAACAGGTTCCATAGCTTCATGGGCAACATATGAGCAATTTAACATATTGCAGTGCCAATGTTTGTTCAACCATTGGTTGACTAAACCATACTGGAATGAGTTTGTACAATATGCCAAACTACATACTATGATTTACATAACTGGATTTTTTCCGGCTTGCTAATTCTTACAATGGAGGCCTTTGTTGCAAATTCATGTTACCTCTATGAAAGATTGGTTTAGTATGTAAAGTAGAAAATTCACGGGGGTAGACCTAAGCAAGGTCTATATAGCACAGTAAGCCAAAATGTGGTTTCATATTGTTGTGAAATAATGACAAGGATATATCCATAAAGTTTCTATAAGTTGAATTTGATGAAAAGAGACTTTACTATTTTTTTTGAGTTGGGTGAATCCAGCCACAGCTTACTTGTCTTTTGTAAACCCAATCATACTTCATTCAACAAATCATGGTTGAACAGTATGGCATACCATGGTTTGAAGATAGCCCTAGAATTGGCAGAGCAGAGCAAAGTTGAGTGTTCCTTTGTAGGTATAAATTCTTGGGATATTACCATGGCAGGAAGAGTGTCTGTGTAAGGGGAATTTGATTTCCCTTAGTGGATGTTTTCTCATTCTTCTAGGCTAAATAAATTTGGGCAAAGGTTTGCACATCTGTCATTGCAGTCCTTGAAGCTAAATTGGTGCTAATCCTCCACAATGTTTCATCTTGGCTGTCTTACACTACTTCTGTTGCTGATCCTTCTGAGGAGTTATTGGTTCTCAGCCTTAACAGCTGGATTGGATTTTTCAAGAAATGTATGCCTTGTCATCCATCCTCCCCACTCCCAAAGTTCTAGTGCTGGAGAGTAGGTTAGCCCATGTGACTTTCTCATGGTACAGAAATCTCACATGTGGCATTCTGAGTCATGTATAACATCTACAAATAGCCTGGGGAAAAACAAGTGAATAAGGAACACATCAAAGTAGGAGAGAAGGATGCACCATATTTTTAAAAGAAATCACATATTCATAAAATCACATTTAGGTTTTCAGTGGGCTTCCAAAAGCAAGTTTGACTAGGCCCTGATTTTAGAAGGCCGTGCTTTATTCAGTTTTTAATTCCAAACTCTTAATTTCTAACAGGGCCAAAAAAGTTTGCTCAGCCAAGAACTGCTGTGTTGAAATGACATTATTGTCCACCTCCTTTTTTCCCTCGAAACAGAAACTTCTGCATGGTTGGCCTAGATATTTTTCTTCTCTTTCCTGCCTTCCACTTCCCAAATCTGAAAAAGAGGGATTTGGCATCTTTTTCAAGCAAATCAACCACTTTTAAGTACTGTTTGCAATAGTAGATTAATTTACCCAATTCTGTATAATAATCCAGATTATGCAAAGTTATTTCATTGTAGAGAGAGAACAGAAAAAAATGGAATGGCTTCAATACATAACATGGATAACAGGGGAATTTGGTTTGCAATGGGGCACGGCATGGCATTGCATGGTGTGCTTCAAATCACTTTTATTCCAGAACTGCAGGAAAGCAATTTACAAGAAAAGGAGTGATCTGAAGACAGTACTGTAAAACAGTGTGATTGATGATGACATGTTATGGAGACTTTCTGCAGAGTATTTCAGATGTTCATCCACTGATGTTTGGTGTCCTGGTTGGGATCACAGTGACATTAAGAGAAGGACTGACACTTGCTTTGTACTCTGCTAAGCCATGAACCATGCCTGGGTTCAACAAGACTCAATGGGATGTGTAAAGTTTTAACTGTTGTTCATTACCAGCTTACACGTCTGAACTGGAGGATGGTCTGCATCTTCAAAGAGGCTGTTGGAAGAATATGAAGAACAGGCTCACAATGCAAGTTCAAACCGAGTTTAACTCCAGAATCTTTTTTAATAAGAGGACTTAATGATGTATCCCATTGCTCATAGTTCTTTGCAGAATCATAAGGAATTGCTTTGTAAGAAGTCCCACTCTGGTTGGTTCACATATAATGATGAAGCCATGTTTTGTTGAAGAGGAGCCACAGCATCTGGGTTCCTGCAGTATGCTAACTGCAGACCAGACTGTACTGTGGCTTAATGAGATGTGAGCCCAACTTCTTAACCTGTTTATTTGAGTATACTTATAGACTGCCCTAATCTGAATGACTCTGGGCGGAATGCATGAGGAGTTGAAATAGTGACTGTCTCCATACATTAGAATGACCCATGCTTAATATAGTCATAAGCTCTCAAAGCACAAAAAAGAAACAGATGTGCTTCAGTAGTCCCCTAGGGCTGTGATTAAATGTTAGATTTTCTGTGTGCCGATTGCGTGCTGTACTGTTCCCTTGTAGAACATTTGGAGGAAGAGAAGGGTCGAAGTAACTTAGGAGGAGCATGGTACACACACACATACATCATAGACATGCACACCACCATATAGATTCCAAAATATAACTTGGAAACATAGAATTCAGTCTGGCGCAATATGAGAGCTTCAGGAATGTAATGATGCAATATATTTCCAAAGAAAATAAAGCAAAACACCTTTTGTTGCCTAGATACATTACGTGATCCTTTTGGGTTGCTGAGCACCCATGAAATAACTTTTCCTTCCAGCACTGCAAAATAGCTATTGAATGGTTGGACAACCTCTTTCTTAGAAATTCTCCATCCCTGGACACCGTGGTTGTCCGAGACCGTCTTTGACTTCTTTCTCTTGTTCAAGGGTTTATTATGACTTGGCGACACAGTTAAATCCGTCGCCAGTTTTTTATTTCTTTCTCCCAGGACTTCCTTTTGGTTTTCAAACGATACCTGTTTTAAAGAACTACGTTGATTTTTTTTTTCTTTTTTTATGGAGAATAACTGTTGACAGAAAAAATGCTGCTCAATCCCTTGATGGGTTCTTTTTGAAAAAAAGAAGTAAGAGCTTTCTACTTTTATCCAAGTCATCCCACAAGTTACAAAATCTAATTGGAAACATATAAAAATGAAGAATGTGAATGAATCTGTCTTTTCCCCCTCCATTTTTGGCTATTTTTATCATCTGGATGCTAGAAAGAGTAACTGATGGTTGGATATATATGTGTATTTT